ATATTTTAATTTGTATGTTTTAATGTGCTTTTTTATATATATATATATATATATATATATAAATTAAAAAGTTTGGGGTCAGTAAAAACTTTTTTTTTTTAGAAAGAAATTAATATTTTCATTTAGCAATAGTGCATTAAATATCAAAATGACAGTAAAACCTTTTACATTGTTAAAATATTTCAACTAAATACTGTTAAATACTTTCTATTATGAAAAACAATATTATAACATTATATTTATCTAATATAATATATAATATTTAAACAATATTATGATTTTACTGTTACTGTTTTTTTCCTATTTGGACTTGGTGAGCATAAGGGACTTCTTTTAAAATCATTCAAAATATTACCAACCCCAAACTAAATAATAAATGTAAATATAAATCTAAATAAATATTAATGTTACATTTCACCAGCAAAAGCTAATATAAACAAACAAAAATAAAACAGAGCACAGGTCAGGACGGCAGGGAGTCAGGATGGCACAAAAGATGGAGAGTTAAGAACATTAGGTTTTAAACCAAAGCCTGGCAGAAGTATCCAGATGTAATATAAAATGTATTAATATCTACAGGCTTTTGCAGTGGATGGAACTTAGCCACTGAATTGATTTGAAGTGCTGGTGGGAATTGTCTTATGGATCTTGTCAGACTGCAAATCTATGGAGATTTCCACTGTGTGTACTCACCGCTCTGGCACTGTCCTCATATTCGATCTTGAGGTTGCTCATGGCTTTAATGATGGCCATGATGGACTGGATGGTGTTACTGTAGACCACCGCTCGATACTGCTTGCACTCTTCCTCTGAGTAGCCATCCTCATGGATAATCCTGCAGAACGGACACACAGATGATCAATCGATCAGTGTTGTATGGGATATTTAGCCCTCATTAAATTTTAATTTGTATGTTTTAATGTGCTTTTTATATATATATATATATATGCATTAAATATCAAAATGACAGTAAAACCTTTTACATTGTTAAAATATTTCAACTAAATACTGTTAAATACTTTCTATTATGAAAAACAATATTATAACATTATATTTATCTAATATAATATATAATATTTAAACAATATTATGATTTTACTGTTACTGTTTTTTTCCTATTTGGACTTGGTGAGCATAAGGGACTTCTTTTAAAATCATTCAAAATATTACCAACCCCAAACTAAATAATAAATGTAAATATAAATCTAAATAAATATTAATGTTACATTTCACCAGCAAAAGCTAATATAAACAAACAAAAATAAAACAGAGCACAGGTCAGGACGGCAGGGAGTCAGGATGGCACAAAAGATGGAGAGTTAAGAACATTAGGTTTTAAACCAAAGCCTGGCAGAAGTATCCAGATGTAATATAAAATGTATTAATATCTACAGGCTTTTGCAGTGGATGGAACTTAGCCACTGAATTGATTTGAAGTGCTGGTGGGAATTGTCTTGTGGATCTGTCAGACTGCAAATCTATGGAGATTTTTTTTAATACAGTCAGCTCTGGCTCATGAGGATGGAGGAAACTCTCTATGAGAATAGAACCAGAGAGCCAGTTCACTCACTCAAATAGCATTTAAAACACCTATAAGGGGAAAATACAGACAACTTTCTCCAATATAACTAAGCACGACTAAATTCTAGAGTCATTTTATAATAATTTAATTTAATTATTACAGAATGAATGCTGCGATTGTGCCCCAGATCAGAGTGTGCGTGTTGGGATGCATTCAGTGATGAGGAGGAGTACAAAACATTTTCCATCAGAGTGATTAGAGTGTAAAACTGCTTTGGGAAACAGGCGTAAGAAGAACAGCAGAGGTCAAGGTCAGATAAACAAACAGTATTAACTGCTGCCAGGGGCCCGATCACACACACACTTGCACATCCACAGCAGTTTATGTGAGTGTGAGCAAGGAAGACGCATAGGTTACCTACCTAGACAGCATTTTTAGCCATCAGTGTTGCGTTTTTAACATTTATTCAATCGTATGATGCTTAAAAATGCTGTCTAGGTAGGTAACCTGCTTTGAGACGACCTCTATGTGTGAATAAATAAAACAGTTTCATGATTTATTAAGGTCTGAAATGTGTCGGAACGCAAATGAGTGCAATACAAGTACATGTTGCATTCTCAGAGCTGCCAGCATGAAATGGAAATTTATCTCATATAACTCGATCTTGTATTAACTGCTGCCAGGGGCCCGATCACACACACACTTGCACATCCACAGCAGTTTATGTGAGTGTGAGCAAGGAAGACGCATAGGTTACCTACCTAGACAGCATTTTTAGCCATCAGTGTTGCGTTTTTAACATTTATTCAATCGTATGATGCTTAAAAATGCTGTCTAGGTAGGTAACCTGCTTTGAGACGACCTCTATGTGTGAATAAATAAAACAGTTTCATGATTTATTAAGGTCTGAAATGTGTCGGAACGCAAATGAGTGCAATACATGTACATGTTGCATTCTCAGAGCTGCCACAAGGGGTGCTATTGCAAGAATTAACGTAAACTACTTCTGTGATCCTGTTATGGTGAAATAACCTTGCTGAGCATGTCAAACTAATTCATTAAAGCCAGCATGAAATGGAAATTTATCTCATATAACTCGATCTTCCAGTGAAATTATGTTTTGGTGATGTATGCCGAACTTCTTCAAATATTTTGTCCGCATAAACCTAGTCCCTGCCTTACAAATTGACCTCAAGCTCCAATTCAGATCTGCCTCCATCCAATCAACAACTAAAGGATTGAACTAAGAACATTTTTTTTATTTTTAATAACCTATTTCAGTCGGATATACGTCACGATGTATAAGATAAAATCTGTCGCTACTAGCTACCTGAAAAGCAACACGTTCAAATTGATGACTGAACGGATTCATTGAAATGAATGATTCTAAACACTAAGACTTGGAGCTCTGTTTATGTTTATGAGTATGTGCACTTTGAGTTCATTAACCATTGAAGGGGAAAAAAAACTCCCAATGTGCCATATGAATTGATGTGTGTGTAAGCAAATTTTCTTTTTTAACATTTTTTCACTATAGAGTTGTAGCTGTTCCCTCTCATATCATCCAGAGAGAGTAAGAGTCTGAAAGAGAGAAGAGAAAACATTGTTCACTCACTTCATCTGTTTTACGATGGTGCTCTTCCCCGATTCTCCAGCGCCTGTGACAGAAAACCAAGAAAACAAGGTTATAAAAACAACACACTCATGCACACACTTCATCTTCAGACAGGAAAGCAAGCTCACAGTCTATGTTTTTTCCCACCGTCTAGTCAGACTCTTAGTGCTAATGCCCACCCTGTAGCAGTGTGTGTGTGTAGCCTATACTTCCAGTAACTCAAGCTTTGCTGACTTAGCTGCCGATCTTCAGCGTTCCATTCTCTCCCAGACCCGGTGTTTATCAAGTTTGGCCTTTAATGGAGATGTCTGAGTGCTTCACAAACAGGAAACGGAGCCTTATCAGGGTAATTTCCACAGGCCAGCAGGGGCACGCTACTCGTTTGACATATAACTCGTTATATAAACACAAAACATAACGGCCATACGCTAGAATCAACAAGCTCCCACAAGCACCTTCTAACATCTCAAAAACAAACATCTACGCGTCACAAAGACATATCTGATACGGACTGGCACATTTGCGCTCTGGAGAGCTTGTTTGTGTCACGTGACGTGCAGCTCTGAGATGTAGCGCTGCCCCCCCGGCCCTCTTACACAACTCTAAACACACACGGATTACACTGCAAACCGAGCAGAAAACTGCCCTCACACTCTAATGAAATGGTATTCTAAGATGCACAAAAAGAGGAAAGCCTAAAAAAAGATAAAGAAAAGTAAAGAAAGCCTCTGTGTGTGTCAAAAGCTGAGTTCAAAATCACAGTGTTAGCACACCTGTCAACGTGCTACACGCTCACACCCACTTACTCTACGTGAAGAGACGACTTCACACTTGAGCAGCTGCTGTCAACACCTAAAACATGCAAAATCAGATCTCCCACATCTTACGGACATGGCAGCCGTTCTGACTTCAGTCACGCATCAATTTGTGGCTTTCATTTGAGAGATTTTTGCTTCTACTGCACGTTTAGAAAGTTAGTGTTAAGGGCTGTTCACACCAAGGATTGTAACTATAATAGGGCCTTATGAAATCAGTTTTTTTTTCTTCTCAAATTCCATTTTATTCTTTACCAAATTCTTTTTTTTTTTTTAAGTTTGAATTTTTCTGGATTCAAATTGAATGGTTTAATTAAATTTTAATAATGAAAAAGCATTTCTAATGAATTGAATTCATAAAACTTTAACAATGTGATGATTTATGATTATTCTAATGAGTACTGTAATTGTAAAGATTTAATACAAACTTATGATCGAAAATAGTGGTTACCAAATGAAGGCATAAAACATTAACAAATTTTAAAACTTTTAAAATCTAATCAAATGAAAACTTTACATTTCATTTTATTGTTTGGCAAACAAAGTACTGCACAACAGAGCTTTACAGTTCAAATTAAAACTGTGATGTGTTAAAATTGTATGATATTCTTTAAAAACAAGGTTTATTTTATTTCAGAATAATTTTATTATTACTACTACTACTTTGAGAAGTACACTCTACTGTACAATAGTAATATATTATATAGGCCCTACTATAACGGTAACTATAACACATATAATATAAAAGATGTTTTGAAGAATGTTGGTAACCTAACAGTTGCTGGTAGCCTTTGACTTTCATACAATTTTTGTTTTCCATAGTATGGAAGTCATCAACAACTCAATCAAAATCCATCTGACTTTAAAGAGCTTGAGCATTTAAAGTTGCAGACGACAAAACTGCAGTGCACGCTTACAGTTTAAACAATTAAATAAAACCATAAACAATTGTATCGTCTGTTGGTATGGACACTAATATAGTTATTGTTATACTTCGCGAACTTGTCTTGTGCCCAATCCCTTAGAGGACAGACAAGAGACGGGAAGGCCCGCATGGGAAAATGAATGCCTGTATGAGTCAACGTGTCTATTGTGTATTAGTGTACACACTTCTAGCGATGTGCACCTGCAGGATGTGGCCGTGTATGTTTTAGTTATTGTCTGTGAATAAAACATTGGGCATTGGCGGGATTTCCACAGAATGTGTTTTAAACCATAACAAAAGACAAAAGTTCGTCACATGAGCAGCAGTCAATTGAACAGTAGTTTTGTGATGGAGTACCAGAAAAACTCTTAAAGAATCTGAAAAGAGCTACACAGAAGCAAACTACATGTCTTCGATTTATTCAATTATGGTTTATAGATTGTTTGCAGGGCCTCAGAACTGAAATTTGTGAGCCATCTCTTACAAAACAAATTGTCAAAACTAACATTACCAGCGATTCCACCGGGACGGCAGTCAGTATCGGCATAAAATAAATAAATAAAAATAATAATAAAATAAAACAAATAATCAGGATTTGCTTCTTTTTTTTTTTGAGACGCAGGATAATAATTTTCATATTATGACATTATGGTGATTCCAATAAATGATATTAAAATTGGTTTTTCCTATAGAAATACAAATAAAGCTAATGCATGATATAAAAATTATTTTGGGATTTTATTGAACTATTAGGGCTCAGATGAAAATAAAGCTAATATAAAGCAAAAAGAGTGGAATTGAGATGCACAATCAATAAATAAATCAACAAATAGGCTAAATAAGTAAATATTTTTTTTTTATATATATTTTTTAAATTTCATGTTAACTTTGAACCCAGACAGACTCTAGACCTCCCCATATGTGCTAAAGGCCTGGTATCAGGTGTTGTTTTTGCATTGCATTGGTCTCATCACACGATTGTGGTACCTCAGATCTGAGGGCAGGCGTGGGTGTGTAAATGACAACATGGGCTACGCTAATGAGAAGTGCACCAATACAGTACAGCGATGTGCCAGTGAGCTCAGGTGTGCACTCCTGATCTGGGGCCGGTTTGTCTGGCTGAGGTTCACAGTTTTTGTGGTCATAATGGTCTGAGGCACACAGGTTCACAGTGGAGACGAGAATAATTCAGTTTTGTTGCTGCAGCTGAGACCCAGGTTACCACAGTACACACATGTCTCTGTCCAATCTGCCCGTCTTATTTTCTAGCTTGGCCATCACTTAACCAGTTTTACGGTCTCTCAACTGCATTATGAAATAATGAGAAAGTAATTTACTTATTTAAAAGGCTGAGATCATGCGTGTGATCCATCTAATCACATTCAAACAGACTTAAGTTCTTGCTCTCGCTCTCTCATTTCATCCGTCCTCTGGGTTTTTGTATTCACTGCTCCAGCAGACAGACTTGGCCACAGCTCTCCACCGTTAGTGGTGCGGTTGGCTAGGCATTAGCTCATTTTTCTGCTCAAATTCTAGGAATCTCCAGGCTTTCACAAGCAGAGCGTGATCTCTCTGACTGTTCACTTAATAAATTCATCTCTCTTTTCTTCTGCTCTAGTGTTCACAGGCTAGTCTAATAGCAATGCTGGACTAACATAACAAAGAATTAGGTTAAATTATTACAAATGTGTTAGACCTATGGCGCAGTGCACATGATCAGGTGAAAAAACATTAAAATAAAATAAAAAATAAAATATAATCAGGGAGTCATAATCAAATTCAAAAACAGAGAACAAGCAAATTTGCGTTTTAAGTAGTTTTATAAGTATAACATATGGTTATAGTGTTAAAATGTATGAATGTGTCAGAGCTGTGGCACAGCATAGTCTAAGCATCCTCTAAAACAAAACACAAATGACTGTGTCCTGTTGGGCATAACTACAATCTTGAGAGCTGAAACAAAAGAACAAGCAATTTCCATTAGGATTCTCTGCGCAGAGTGATGTTAAATAAACAGTACGTCTTACTAAAATGAGTTGTGACCACATCTTGCAATTAATATTGTAGTGAACCATTTCATGGCAATGCAATTGTTAAAAAAAAAAGGAACAAGAAAAAGCAGCAATTTATGAATTATGCACTCTTTGACATAATGCATACAACCACACACTTACAAACCGGATCCTTTGGATTAATGAAGCGAAGGTTTCATAAGTGCTGAAAATCCCTGCAGTGCCTCTGGGGTCATTTGTAATATTATTTGCCTGCTAAAACCACCACTGGATAATGAATCGGCAATGACAGAGCTGTTGTGAAAACAGTCAAACACTTTTGGTACGGCTCGTCCAGATCAATGCACCGGCAGAGACCGCAGACTGATGATGCCCCATATTGTGATTGTTTTTATGCCCTCATTTATATCTAGTAAATGGATAAAACTGTCAGCCGTTTATTGGGCTGTCTAAAAAATTTATTTGTCTGCTTATTTATGGCTTTAATTTTTCCCCCAGTTTGGATTATCACCCTCTGGTCAGATCGATAGGATTTAGAAATGTTGTTCTAAACACGAGTGAGACGGAAGTCCAAATGTGTCACACATTTGTTTGGTGGTTTCACAAGGTAATGCACACATTCGTAATACCTGAAACACCAACACACACCATCCCTCGGTGACGTAGTGAGAAGTTTGTGTGTTCAGTAAACAAGCTTTTATTGGTCTGTGGGCGAGACACCTTCAAATCCTTGACAATAAACAGAGACTGTGCACGTCTACAGCTTGGTTGCACCTGCTGGTCAACTGTAACGCACACAAGCTCTGTTCAAAACCCTAGTGAGCAACTTAGAAGGCAGCTGTAGGCAGAAAACAACAAAGACAGGATGCTAAAATAGTTCCTAAAAAGGGAATGAATCAGAACGCACTACACAGACAGCATCTTTGCTAAGCTAACAACATAATACTCTAAGAAGGATAAAAATGTATAGCACCCAAGTATCAGGTGAAATTATTACTGATTATATTGTTTTCAACTAACTAACTTTAAAAGAATTCTAAAATGTATCATGGTTTCTAGAAAAAAAAAATTAAGCAGCACAACTGTTTTCAACATTGATAATAAGTTTCTTTTGCAATCAAATTAGCATATTAGAATGATTTCTGAAGGATCATGTGACTGAAGACTAATAATAATAACAAGACCTATTAATAGTTAGTTCATATTAAAATAGAAATTTAATTTTAAATTGTTATAATATTTTGCAATATTTTAACTGCATTTTGACCAAAAAAAAGGAGACTTAGTTGAC